AGTATCATGCCTAGGATTTAATTAATAATTATTTATTATCATGTTTAAGATGCTTTAAATTCGTTTCTTTAATTATTATTTAGTTGCTTCCAATATTTTTTTATGCATGATTATTATCTAATCTATATGATTTATTCTATATTTGTTTTGATCACCTATATTGCATGTTTATACTACTACATTTGTTTATCTATATTTATCTATATTTGTTTTGATCACCTATATTGAAAAAAAGACACAAATTCATTTTTATATTACTACATTTTCATAGTTGGACCATGGTCCAGCTAAGCTAGATGCACCAAGGATCATGGTCCATCTAAGAATTTGCGTGTAGTAGAACCTGATGTATAAAAATAAACCTTATGTAATATGGCCCATTATCTCAATGTAGAAACATTGAAAATCAATCAGAATGTAATATGAATGTATGATGTATGCTCGTGTTACAAAATATTAATGTATATAGTTGGATACTTGGGTTTTTATTAGATTATTCATCCAAGATTATAAACGTATTACTCCAAGCTTTCAGAATATGATATTTCACCTCTAGGCTTTCAGAATGTCATAAACAACCCAAATCAAATACATTTATTATTTATTAAGCTTATTCCTAAAACAATAGCCAAGTTAAAACTACATCGATGAAGGACCTAAAGACTAAGAGACTGGAGATAATTGATCAATCATTCCAATCAAAGCTATTTTCTTCGTATTGACCTTTTTAAAACAATCCACTTAACATTCTCGCATTCCCATTTGAAATTACAATAGAACAATGTTGCTCTCAATTAAAAATTATAAAACCACGGACCTTAAAATGGAAGCAATTCCTCACCAAGATCATCATCACTAAATTTGCAGTGTAAAGTAAGGTCAATTATTCACTCACTTAAATAATTAAAGATGTTAAAACTGTCTTGATATCAAAAATCATTAAATAATAAAAAACGAACTATATTTATTCATTATTTTTTATCACGCTTATTCCTAAAATAGTTGCCGATGAGCTAAAAAGGACTTAAAACTAAATCGACGAGCTAGGGATCTAAAAAAAGTGGAGAACGACTATCATTTTTCCAAGGGTAACATTTAAAATAATCAGGTCTAACTAGACAAGGCCAAGTTGAATAGATATACCACCAACAAACAAACCCACATACTTGTGCATCTCTATCACCAACATATATATCAAACCACTTAACTTCCTCGTTCGCCCATTTGAAACTACAATAGTACAACGTTCTTCCCCACCAATCACTACGAAATGAAAATTGCCATGCTTCTTGATAATTAAGCACTTGCTCGCCAAGATCATCGTCCTCAGATTTGCAGTGTAAAGTAAGTTCAACTCCCTCGCCTAGATAATTAAAGATGGTTACATGCGTTTGGACGCCATTGCAAGTTGATGCAATTAAAGCAAGTGTAATTAAGGAGAATAATACTTGGGCTCTTGCTCTTACCATTATTATGTATATGATTTGGGAAGCAAAAAAAAATCAATGGAAACATGAAATAAAAAAAAGTGAGGTCTATTGTCTATATATTAAAGAACTCATGTTGGGAAGCTAAGGTTTATGAAACATGAACCAACTACCAAAGATGATTATTGATTCTTCATATTAATGATGGGAAAGAGTGAATGAAAAAATCATGTGTTCTTTATCTTTAATATATTGGGAGGAAAATATATAATCTATATGATTGTCTTTTATTGAGATATAGGAATGTGTAGGTTAATATCATATGATATTATTGTGAAAAGATATATGTGATCTATATTGTAATAGATTTAGGAAGTTTTAAGATATTTAGGAATACTAGTATAGTGCCGCGATGCACGATTTACAAATCATTATACTAATCTCATCGTATAATACAACATAAATAAAATTAATTCAATGATTATTCCTAAAGTAATAGACTCCTTTACATTAAAAAATTTAAATTATCTATGTGGGTTCCAAAAAAATTACTAATAAACTTAGAGTAACAATAGTATTTTAATTAAAATAACACTTTGTATAAGAAAGGTAGAATCATCCTTTTACATAACCGTAAAAGTTAGCGGTCTAGCGAGTTACAAAATCATCTGAAATAATTTTTCCATACAACACTTATTTAAGTAGGCATTTTAATAATTAATACTCATTTTATTTGTCGCACTCACCAATTTATCCACCCAAAATAACAAATTGTTTATTCTACCCACGAATGGGTATATTTTTCTCTAAGCATTGTGCCATGAACTATTACGCAATAGTCATATAACTAAATGAACTGATAACATCTAACTAAATATAGTTAGAAAATTGAAGAAGTACTCGAGTTCAGGTTCAAAAATGCTTACTTAAATTAGATAGTAAAAATGATTTTATCTCTTGTATTGATAAGTTACCAACGTTTATTAAAACGTCTAGTTTATCCTTGCTTAAGGAAAATTGGAAGGAAAACAGTAACACAATACGGTGCATCACGTAAAATACCCTAATTTTAGTTCACTAGATTACGTTTTGACACCAAAATATATTAATGATCTATTTTTTTTTACTTCGTATTGTTTTGTTGTGTTTATTGTAAATTTTGTAAATAAAAGGTTTTACTACTTTTACGCTATGCTTGTGATGATGGCGGCTTGGTTGTGTGGTGGCATTGGTGTATGGTGTGGTGGGCTGGTGGCGTGTTAGTGGTATGTTGTGGACAAAAAATGGTTATATGTTGGTATATGGACATAAAGTACGCTGCTTAGCCTAAAGCCGGTTACTAATAATTTAGCAATAGCATAGTGATATGCTCGTTACAAATACTAATTACTTTCGTATTAGTATCTTTTACCTTGCGTTGTTGCATTTATAAAAGTCTGTTCTATCAAGTTACTAATGATATTTTTTTCACTCGTGGTATTAGCTTATCTTATAAATGGAGTCCTAAAACTCTTCGTTCTTCACTCTTCAGATTTGTGATTGTATATTATGCAACCAAATGGATTTTTAATCTTTCCTCGGCTCCATACCAAAGAATTCTACAAGCTCAGCTTTTCTATCTATATGTCATACTCTGAGATAGCTTTAAAATGTATTACTGAATTGACCAAAAATTGGTTTTTTTTTTTTTTCTTGTCATACTCATTTTATATAGAGTGCTATAGTTGCAATAACTTTGATATAAATGGGGGTAGGAAAAATTTAAGCACATTATGTATAAACCATGTATCAAGAAGAGAAAAATAACACTTGCATAATGATATTTGTAATGATTGTCCTCCTTTTACCATTAATCCACATCTCTTACAATGGCTTTTGCATAGAGAGATATATAATGATGAAATGTATTTATTGCTTAGCTTATTTGTAAATCTTATTCATAAACAGTTGATTGCCACATGTTAAAATTACATTGACGAGGGACCTATAGAAAGTGGAGAATCATAACCTTTCCAAGCATAACAAGTTAAAGCACCAGGTGTAACTACACAAGGTCGATTTGAAAAAATGTACCACCAACAAACCAACCCGCATACTTCAGCATCTCTTTCATTTACATATATATCAAACCATCTAACTTCCGCATCTTCCCATTTGAAACTACAATAGAACAAAGTTGTTCCCCAAAAATTAGTATAAAATGAAAAATGCCATGCATCTTGATAATGAAGCACTTGCTCACCAAGATCATCATCTTTAGATTTGCAGTGTATAGTAAGGTCAACTCCTCGGCCTCCTAAACGTAAATAATTAAAGATTGTTACCACTGTCTTGAAATAATATTCATCGTGATCACCGTTGCAAGTTGATGCAACGAAAATCATTGTAATTATAGAGAATACTTGAGTCCTTGGTCTCACCATTATATTGAAGTGTTTATTTAGTAGTAATATAAATTTGATTGTGGAAGTAAATAAATCAATGTAATGGAAACATAAAACTTAAAAAAAGGTAAGGTCTATATGTACTTCATTTAAGGTTTATGAAACATGAACCAACTACCAAAGATGATTAAATCATCACATCAATTAATCAATGATGGGAAAAGAGAAAATTTAAAAAGCATTTGTTTTTTCCTTAAAATACTACGTATAGTTTTGTTTAATATAGTGGGGGTAAGTATATAACCCTATGGGTCAGGAGGATCAATGAGAGGTTCTGATTCGGTAGGGCCCTTCTCCTTACCAAAAAAGAAAAAAAAAGGTACTTCCTCCGTTGTTTTTATAGTTACAACAGTTTGACTTTTACACTATTTATATGTTTCACTTTGACTGACTTTGATAATTTATACTTAAGTAAAAATATAGTCATGTGGAATCTTGTTAGATTCGTCTCGAGTTATACTATTTTAATATCAAATGTTTATAATTTTTACATATTAATAATCAAAGATGTCAACGATTGAAATCACGCATCGACAAATTTGAAAAAAAAAATAAGTGTTGCAACTATAAAAGGTAAGAAGAAATAAACATTAGGAAGCCCTCCTCACGGGGGAAATTCCTAATGTGTCAGAAGAAAGAATAGAAAACAAACTAGAGTTACTACCAGTGGCGTTACCAGGATTTTCGAAGTGTGGGTTCGAAACTTCGGAAATTTGAAATCGTAATTAACAAAAGAAAAAAAAATATAATAATTAAATATTCAGTACATAAATAAGTTCAAAATATGGATTACAAATAGATTACACATAGGAAAATGAAAAGAAAAAAAAAAAAGACTACAGAAGCATTCTTCGAGTCTTCATACTTTGGAAGCGTTCCAATACATCATCATCACTAACTCTTGAAAATAAATCTCTCTCAAGAAAAGTGACTAAATTATCATTCAATAATTGATCACCCATACTATTTCACAACTTATTTTTTACGTATGTCATTGATGAAAACACTCGTTCCACGCTTGCAGTTGCAACCGGAAGGATCAATGCTAGTCTTATAAGCAAGTAAACTAAGTTGTAAGTAGTATGCTTATTTGTTTCAACAAGCATCATAGAAAGCTCATGAATACCCTTCAAGTCTCCAAACCTTGCATCTTGGCGCACATCATTAATATAAATTGAAGCTCATGACGAAGTGCAGTAATAGGAACCTCATCATCGTTAGGAGACACATGTTCTTCTATTGGAGGATCCCTTGAACTAGGTGAAGAACAAGTTGAAGACTTTTGTGACTTCCCGGCACGTTTCCAAAATGACTTTAAACTCATGATATATATGCTAGTCTGCTACATACACAAACAAACCATTTACAATATCAAAAATCTATATTCAAAATTAATTTAGCATCACCAAATTAATAATAGAAGCAACCTACTATTACTTCTATTAGACCACCATTAGTACTAAACAACAAAATTCAACACAAATGACAAATCCCAAGATTAATCCAACATCCATAATCCATCCAATCCAACAAACAAACAAAAGATAACACCAAATTCAAACAAATTCCAAATCAAAGTTAATAAATTAGCTTAAAAGCCAAAACAAATTACCTTGAGGGCTTGAGAAAAATCAGCAAGGTAAAACATCAAAACGAAGAGAAACAACATCACTGAAAGTTGCATTTTCCACCATTTACAATATCAAAAAGCTATTCAAAATATCACAAAAAAAATCCCCAAATTGAGAAGTAAATTACATTAGCCAAAAATAAATCCCAAAATTCACTTACCTAGAGTCCTAGACGAGTAGACACGGGCACACGGATGTCGGGCTGTGACTGTGACTTGCTGACTTCCGCCAGTCCGCCACTGGGTTGAGTGGTTGTGGCTTGTGGGTCTGCTTTGCTTCGCAGCTTCGAGCCTTGGCTAGTCAGCCTGCATTTGCGCCGGTGGGTTGCAAGAAAAGGAGGACGAAAGAGAAGAGAGAGAGGAAGAACAGGAAGAGAAGGAGGAAGAGGTTAGGGTTTTTCAATTTGGGGGAATGAGGAAGACTGGAAGAGGAAAGGTTTCGTTCTTCAGTGTTAGGAAAACAGAAAATGAAATTTTAAAAAAAAAGTGTGAGTTATGGGTTTTGAACCCACAACTCTTGTGTGATGGGAGCTAAAAATAACCACTGGGTTACAGCTTTACTTTTTGTCATATATTACACGAATATTCTATCTAAACCTATTTTGAATTTTTTTTTTTTTTTTTTTTTTTTTTTAAAAAAAAGTTTTTAATTTTGTTCAAAAAATCAATGGGTTCAATGAACCCACTTGAACCCATGCTAGTTCCGCCCCTGGTTACTACAACCATCAATATCCATACTACTATATACTAAATGGCCTACATTAACTATCCAATCCGCTGCGCGATTTGCCTCTCAGTAGACGTGCTGGATACTCCAATTGCGAAATCGAGAAAGGAGAGAACAAGTGTTTTCGATAATATGTTCAATCTGTCAAGGTACTACCCAAATGTCTTTTATTGAGTTGATGACTAATAGGTTGTCATCTTCAATTTCAATGTCCTAAGTGCAAAGGCTGCGCTATACATATGTATGCAACTAATGCAAGTATATATGCAAGTATGCAACCCACAATTTCCAAGCATATGCCTAATTTTAGAGCCACAAATTAAGCACAAGTCACAAATTTTTTACCAAGCTAAGTCTTCATTTATTAACAACTTCGTCAGGTCACTAGGGGAGGTGTCGAGGGCAATATGAGAGCACCCTAAAAAATACAAGGGCGGGCAGGTGTTGTTAGATTCATTAAAGTGTTATTAATGAGATATTTGCTAATTATATCACCTTAATAAACTTGCAATGTAGATCAAGTAGCATTTACATGATGGAATCAACAACTTTTCATTAAATATAGGTTTCACTCTTATAGATCTTGTTATGAAAATGTCATATTGATTGGATAAAGTTGTTAACTTATTCACAAAACTACCACTTAATTAGCATTTTTTGTTTATCTTGTTGATATAATGGGGCTTCATTGGGATACACTTGTACTACTTTTCATAATCATAAGGGTCTACGATATAATGTTTATATGTATGTAATGACTAAAAGATAAGATCATTATGAGCATAATCCTTTGCCCACCCAGTGGCGGATCCAGGATTTGATTAATAGGTGGTCCCATCATCGTCCATCGACCGCATAAAGTATCAAAAAAAAGTCAAAGCTTGTATAATGAACAAAAAAAAAATTACATAAAAAAGTTCATTCCATAAAGTAATGCAAATTCGTATTACAACTAAAAAATTATTAATTTTATTACAATTGCTCTCAACGAGTTTTCATATTTTGATAACGATTTACAATATCATCCATGCTAACATTCAAAAACAAATCTCTTTCTAAATAAGTAATCAAACAATCATTCAACATTTGATCTCCCATGCTATTACGCAATTTATCTTTCACTTGCGTCATTCCGGAAAATACTCTTTCTACACTTGCCGTTGCAACAGGAAGAATCAACACTAACTTCAAAAGTAAGTAGACTCGATCATGAGTTTCAAACTTTCCCGTCTCAACAAGTTTCGTAGAAAGTTCACTTAGACTTTTCAAATTCCAAAATCTCTCATCATTTCGAACATCAACAATAAAATTTTCAAGTGAATGTTCAAAAAATAATAACTCAGAGCTTGAAAATTCATCGGGATAAAATTTGGCAAGTTGAACTAACTTTCTTTTGTCAAAAGAATGAAATCGATTTGCAGGATTAAAGCAAGACATACACACAAGTAATTCCTTACTTACCTCGGGAAATCGATTTTCAAGTTCTTGTAATTTAAGATCAATGACACTTAGAAAAACTTCAACTCTAAAATGATGAAGATTAGTCACTTGTGGACCTTTACCTCTATACATTCTTCTCCCAGGAACCACATATCGCCCCTCCATGTTTGGAACCTCAATGCCATATTTAGCCATAAAAGAAGTGACTTTTTCCATATGTGAATCCCATCCTTCATCTCTCAATTTTTGCAAATTAGTCTTGGTTACATCAACCATGACCATTGCATTTACAATATCTTGATCATGTTTTTGCAATGCCACATTCAACGCATTTGTAATTCCAAATATATCAACCATCAAGTGTGCCACAAACACAAAATCAAATGACATCAACAAGTGTGTAATAGATTGTGCTTTATTCGAATCAAGTGTATCAGATACTTCTGCAATGGAATCAAGTGACAAAACTATTGAAGGATATAAATCAAGCACATTCAAAATGGTTTTAAAGTGAGATCCCCAACGAGTATCACAAGGTCTACATAAGCCACGTTCTTGATTCAAACCAGTTCCCGATTCAATTTCACCCAAAGATAATGCTTCTACAACCCCTTGACGTTGTTTTTCTCGAAGAAATTCTTTCCTCTTAGGTGAACCTCCCACAAAGTTCAAGAGAGGTGCAAGTACATCAACAAAAAGCCAACCACAATCTGAGTTTTTCTTAGCAAGTGCAACTTGTGTCAATTGAAGTTGATGAGCAAAGCAATGAACAAAGTATGCTTGAGAACATTCATTCAAAATTAGAGTTTTAAGGCCATTGATTGAACCTTGCATATTACTTGCCCCATCATAACCTTGACCTCGAACTTGAGAGAAAGTTAAAGAGTGTTCCATGAGTAATGACTCAATAGCAGCTTTGAGAGTCAAAGAACTAGTATCAGGAACATGCACAATACCAAGAAAACGCTCACACACTTCCCCCTTTTTATTAACAAATCTCAAACAAAGTGCCATTTGTTCCTTATCGGAAACATCGGCAGATTCATCAGCAAGAATAGCAAAAAATCCACCATCAAGTTCTTCCAATATTGCTTTAGTTGTTTCTTTAGCACAAGCATTGATTATATCTTTTTGGACACTTGGAGAAGTAAGTTGACAATTACCAGGGGCCATTTTAAAAACAACTTTGGAATACTCAGGATCATGGTTTGAAAGAAGAGTTAATAACGAAAGAAAGTTACCTCTAGACAATGAACTTTCCTTTTCATCATGACCACGAAAAGGCAACCCTTGGAACAATAGCCATTTAATGGTTTCAATTGAAGCTTCTAATCTCTTACGATAGGCACTCATGGTTTCCGTTGTTTGTTTTGATAAAGCGGTGGCAATGCTACTCATTTGATTCATGAAAAAGTTCATAGCAATCACAGCATTATTGTGAGCACTCTTGTGTCCACCAACATGCTTTACAATTGTGTCTCTTCTATTCCAACATCTGAAACCTCCATTAACAAAAGCATCCACTCCCGCTGTGTTACCATCCTTAAATAGATAGCAAATGAAACAAAAGGCAGCATCTTTCTCAACACTATACTCAAGCCATGTTGGCCAAGTATCAAACCAATTAACGTTAAATCGACGTTTTTTCGGCCCAAAAAGTGTTTGAGGAAACGCATGATCTTTAGCTTGACATGGCTTTCTTTGAATGTATGTTCTCCGCACTAAATCCCTATCATCGGGATGAAAATCACACATCCTTCTTCTTTTCCCGGGGTCTTGTGGAAGATTAATAATATCAAGTGCACTTAACCTTCCTTCACCAATTTGAGCACTAGGATCCGAACCACCTTGGGGAAAAGATTGCCCATCTTCATTTTGAGGGAAATTGTGAGATGGGGAAGAATGTTGTTCACTAGCATGATGTAAAGGAGAACTTGGTTCACTTTCTTGAAAGGGTAAATCATTTTGTGGAGGAGGAGTATCATTTTGTGGAGGAGGAGGATTTAGAGTACACACTTTTTTAGTAAAAAAACTTGAAATATCTCGAGTTGTTTTTCTTTTCATTCTGATATTGAAGTTAAATGTTGAATTAGATAAATCATACAAGAAGGTAGGGTTCTCTCAAAGTTAATAAAACTAATAATATTATCAAAAGAACGCTCATTAACCTCAATTTCAATCCATCCTTCAACCCCAAATCTCTAAATTAGCAATCACCATTCTCAATAGCTAATAAGCAAGTTGGACAACTATTATCATTTATCAATTAAACAGAAATAATACTATAAAATAATAGGGCTCAAATGGTCAAATATCGGCCACAACTCACATTCACAAATCACAACATTCAACCACTAATAAAATCATACAGATAATCAAGTGACGATAATCAAGTCATAAGATTCAAGCTCTAATAAAGTCATACAAATAATCAAGCTCTAATAAAATCAAGAAATTTCACCAAAAAAAAAAAAACAACTCATACAGTAAATTCGTGAATCGTGATATACATATAATCTGATAATTTTGATAATTAAACATTTAAACTGATGATTTGATATAGAATCTAATCAATTTGCAATGTAATTATGTAAATTAAAAGTTTAAAACTAACCTCAAAACAAAATTGAATTCACGGAGTACGGAATGAAGACCTCACACTCACGCCTGAGCAGAGCCTTGCTGCGGTTGCGGGACGCCGGGACAGACGACTGAAGTTGCTGGCGAGGTCGGCGACGGGGTTGCTGGCCAGTGGTTTTGCTGCGGTTGCGGGCAGTGGACTGAACTAAGTCTCACGCTGCTCTGTTCTCAGTCTTCTCACGCTACGCCTCAACGCCGCTAATAGGACGCCGCGACGGTGAGAAGGAGCAAGAAAAACGGCTGGTGAGGCGGTGAACGGCGACGGGGTTGCTGGAGTTTGGGGATTTCGATTTAGGTGAGTTTGGGACTTAGGGTTTTAATTTGGGGGAATTGGGGTTCTGACTTATGTTTTCATTCTAAAGCAAAAAAAAAAAAAAATTGTGAGTAATGGGATTTGAACCCACGTCTCATGAGTGGTAGGATGGGAAAAAAACCACTAGGCTGCAAGCTAAATCCTTAATACATAGTGTTTTTTTTTATATATAATAATAGGTGGTCCGCGGACCCACTATGACTACACGTGGGTCCGCCACTGTGCCCACCTTTGATTGCATTACCATTAATCCACTTCTTTCAATAGGCTTTTGCAAAAAGAGAGAAATTGATCAATTACACTTATTATTACATATTAATCGTATTCCTAAAATAACTTCCTATTAATCTTATTCCTAAATTAATTTCCAAAATATCACTCATGGAATTACATCGACGATGGGCCTAAAGCAACCAGAGAACTATAAGTACTCCAAGGGTAACATCTAAAAGTATCATCTACAGCTAGGCAAGGTATAGTTGGACGAATGTACCACGTACAATTTGTCTCACACACTTTAAAATCTCTTTCATAAACATATATATCAAACCACTTAACTTCCTCGTCTCCCCATTTGAAACTACAATAGAACAACGTTGTTCCCTAAATATTAACATTAAATCAAAATTCCCATGCTTCCTTATATCCAATCACTTGCTCATCAAGATCATCGTCACGCGATTTGCAGTGTAAACTAAGGTCATTTCTCTCACCTATATAGTTGAAGATAATTACATGTATCTTGGGATCAAAAGCATTGCCATGGCCAATGCAAGTCGATGCAGTAAAAATTATTGCATTTAAGGACAATACTTGAGCCCTTGATGTCTTCATTGAATCCAAGAATTTTTATTGAAAACTAATTTTCATAGCAAAGAAATTAATGGAAACATGAAGATATAATTTTAAAAATGGAGGTTGTAAGAGGTCAATATATATTAAGGAGAGTACTCATGTTTGAGAAGGTTAACGAAACATGACCCAACTACATACCAACTAAATAGACCTGCAAAATATAGATAATTTTGATCAAATACACTTATTAATCTTGCTCCTACTATCCAATAGATCACCCTTGAAATTACATCGATGAGGGTCCTAAAGAAGACGGAAACTTAAGAGTATTCCAAGGGTAACATACATAAACAACGGGTGCAAATAGGCAAGGGCCAGTTGGTAAAATAAACCACGGGCAATGCATCCCGCAAACCCTCACATCTCTATTGTTAAAATATATACTAAACCACTTAGTTTCCTCATCTGCCCAATTGAAACTACAATAGAACAATGTTGTTCCCCATATATTCGTAGAAAATGTAAAATACCATGACTCCCTAAAATGAACCACTTTTTCTCCAAGATCGTCATCCTTGGATTTGCAGTGTAAAGTAAGGTCAATTCTCTCACCTATATAATTATAGATTATTACCTCTGTCTTGAGTTCAAGAGCACCACGATCACCATTGCAAATTGTAGCAGCAAATATAGTTGCCATTGAGAATACTTGAGCCCTTGATCTCACCATTGAATCCAAATATTTTTAACTAAAATTTGATTTTTTGGATGCAAATAATCTATGGGAAACATGAAATATAAAAAAGGGACATCGCAAGAGCTCTAAATACTTCATATATCATACAAAGTATTAAGGAGAGTAAGGTGACGAAACATGAACTATCAAATAAGATTGATTCATCAGTGATCAGGGGAAGAGAAAATGAAGAAAGCATGTATTCATTTTGTTGAGAATGGTTTTCTTTTTAACATGCTAGAGAGGTAAATATATAACAAGCAAATTTAAAAGATAATACCATCGCAAGAAAGAATTTCCTGGGCATGAAGGCTGCTAATGTAAGTGCATGCAACCCGCAAAGTAAGCACAAAGTCACAAATTTTGTACCAAGTCTTCATCATCAACAGCTTCCTCAATAACATTGATGCAAGAGCCAATAGACATCCCCTTAGACATGGCATCAGCAAGTTTCGCTCGAGCTTCTTCATGGCGGCGTAAGAGAAGGATAGTATTCAGGACTGCCCATCTCAACTGTGAATCCGCTTTCTTGTGTGTGAACCCCAAGCTCTTGAGCAAGCCATCCAACTTTTCAGAAGGAAAAACAATTCAAACGTTAGGAAAAAACAGATATAAACCCCAATAGCACAATAAAATCAAGGTTTATGAGTTAGTTTGATTTAGGCTAACAGGATCTGTTTAATTTAGGCCAACAGAATTTTACTGTGTGTTCATGAAGGAATGACAAATGCATAACAGTAAAATCGGGGGCACTTTGTTCACTAAAGGGGGGACTTTCAAGACCAATAGGGGAATCTAAGACATGATGATTAAATCAATGAAATGACCAGATAGATGAGTAGGATGAACCTTGTTAATATCAGCTAAACCTCCTTCTGCATATCCATATAATAAGTACTCTGTTGCTACACCAGCCAATGCTATACATGAGAATCTGTTCAGCATCTAATCAAAGACATAATACTGTCATAATCATAAGTAGTTTCCTGTTAATTAACATGAGGTTTCTCCAGAGAAAATTAAGTACAAGGGAGCCTCATAAAAGCTTGCACCAAGAAGAGACCATACCGTAGATGACATTTTCCCTGCGTTGGTCTGCAAATTACAGTCACAAATTGATTCAGAATTTCAAATTCAAGCAAACAAAGCTCATAAAAAATAAGCACGGAAAAGACGTTCAAACGTACCAAAGCATAAGCTAGTTGGACAAGCTAAGACAGTAAGACATGATAGTTCAGAGAGAGTGTTAAAGGGAAGAGAACTCAACAGGTCATAGAGAGAATAACTTACTTCCTCGACAAACTCAAAGTCAACAAAATTTGTTCCTGCTTGAACATTGAGAGACCCTTCTTTGCTCAAAGCTTCTAAACTCGAAAGTGTATAACTTTTTGGAAGGATGCCAAGCAAGTAGGCAATCAAAAAGTGTCCAGCTTCATGCTGCAGTTGAAAATTGATCTTGTGGTCAACTCAGGGATAGCAAAAACTTTAAGTGTGACGAAAACTAGAAAAGGCCACCCTATAAGGAAACATCTACCATATTTATACATTTAAAGATAACAAATCCAATAAGACAACACGTATTAGCTCCAGGAAACGAGAAAATGAACCATGTGCTTACTTGAATAACCCGGTTGTGGTACTTTTGACTGATGGCATGGCCAATCGTATCAAGAGCCAAGCCGGAAATTCCTCCACCAAAAGAAATCTGTTAGAAGCCACAGATTAACACATTGTTTAAATGATTCAAAGCATTTCTCTAAGCACAAAAACTTAATACAGTGACTCAGTCCATGAACAATATTTTCATGAGCCTCAACCATTAATGTAGGAAAAAATTTCTCAAGTTTGACAAAGGAAAGAAAAAAAAAAGTTACCAGATCCAATGTCCACAAGAACAACAATCCCAAAGAGATATAAAAGAGTTGCTAGGGGCTAAGTTCAAAGGCGTTCCAAGCAGCAACACCACCTAAAACCGCAGCAATCTGCAGGTTCCTTTCAATTGAACCAAGAGTCGTGTCCACAGGCGACAAGAGAGAAGCAGCTTCAATTCCATTCAGCTTTAATTCATCCAAAGTATACAGTCTCTGAGGCACCTGCACTGCACATCACACTTCCACTTAATAACACAATACTAAAGTCCAAATCCATAACATCTCAACTTCGAGACAATAATCATGTCTGTGTAGGGATCCAAACATGTCTGTCCAGAAAGCACTTCATAACATTGTTCAAATTCAAATTGTTCTAGGCTTCAAACACTCACACCCTTATCCAATGTATCATGTCAAGAGTCGGACAAAGGCCATACGGGTTACTGAAGCTCGACACAAAGATTCACATGTTCAAAAGCTTGAAATTAATGCAAGTAATACATGTGTCAATGACATATCTACAGAACCCCCAGCAGACAAAACCAAATTGAACTAACAAACTCCATGTTGAAGGAACATTAAAACTTAAAAGTCTATCATGAATCCCAATCTATTTATTATCAGGAATTCAACCTACAAAGTCTGAGGTTAAATTGGAAACACAAATCTTTTGCAATCTCATCTTTAATTAATCATAATCATATAGAGCAGCTCCATCCAATTAACCTCAAAGATGTACAATTTATACAGTATGATTGAAAATAAAATCCATTTTTTATAATGGACAAGATTCCATCTTTTTAAAAATTACACAATTTTGTTACACAGCATAGATATATACCATCATAGTTGTAGAATATAGGGAGGCATAATCTTGATTTGTATTGCACATTAATCTCATACACCAACCAGACAATTAATAGTGAATGAAATAATCAAAATCTTCAGCAGAAATTAATTCTTACAAAATCATAGAAAAATCAAAATTTAGAGAAACCCAATAAAAGAAAACAAATTAATTAACAAAAGGGTAATACTGAATTGAATTCATAATGATCAAATATAGTCGAAGTCATAAAATTGATTTAGATAGAGGGTAAAAAAGAACCTGGCGAGCAGCGCCGAAGCAGCGGAGGCCACCAGGTTGGGTAAGGGACTGTTTTGACAAGAGAAGGGCGGCTCTTTCATCGCCTTTGGCTAATTCATTGTCGAGTTTTTCCAAAACTCGCTTTCGAACATTAGCACTTCCTCTGGTTTCTGAGGTGGGGCCACATGTTATTGTGAAGTTTATTAGAGTACATGACATTGTGAATCCCATTCATTCGTTTCGTTTCGATTGTTTTCTTCAGGCCATGGTGATTGCGGGTAGAGTAAGACGACTTCTTGGTTTATCCACAAGACCAGTAGACCACAATAGATAAAAGGCCAAATTAGGACTACTTCTGGTTCTAACTGATTTTAACCATCTTTGCTGCCCAAAAAAAAAAAAAAAAAAAACACTTTTACTCTACGAGTACTAGTCTAATTGTATTTTTTTTTACTCTTGTGTTTCTCAGTTTGTTTGCAAATAATACGGTGTAATCATGTACGATTGTAAGTGTTACTCGTAGCATCATTTGAAATTGGAGGTGGTATATTGTTTTTAATTTTCCTTTTTTATTATGTGTGTTGGGCAATGATCCCTTTTTATACGGAGAAGTTCATTTTTATTTGGTGATTGTTTTGGGGCAAGTAGTATACTCTTTATCTTATGCCCAACTATAAATACTCCTTTATGAAGCTTATTTATTTTGACTTTTGAGGTGCCTTTTGCCGTGAAATTGGATGAGCAACAAAAAAGTCCTTTGTTGGCTCACTTGTAAACAATAGAATGATATTGAGAGAAAGAGAAAAACACATAAGGTTTTCAAAGTGCAGCTACTTCATGTTTTACAGTGCGAGTCTCAAAAATTACCTCTGATAAAAGCTCATTATCATGGTCCGATTTGGTCCAATTTTGACCACCTGTCAAGACATCAAGGGCTTCATCTTCAATGGTGTAATTTGTCCTTTGCTGCTACGGTTTGTGAGCTATAATTACTATGCAGAACTCTGTTTTCTAGTGACATTTTCTTAATTTCTTTCTTTATAGATTAGCTCGTATGAATGTTTTTTTTTTTTTGTGTTCCACCTGGTTCACCCTTTGGACTAATCCGGATTTGAGGCTCAGTTCTGAGTGGTTAGGTTTCAATTCCCTTCCAATTGTTATTGCGGGGATCGAACACGCGATCCCTCCTACCCTGTGCAGCCTCAATCACCACTACATACATTAGTTAACATCCAAGAAGCCTGATGTGTGATATGTAAACTAGTGAGTAAGCTCCACATGTATGTCCATTTACCCATCCACGTATGTCCATAATCAAACATCCCAACATTTACTCCGTATTTTTTTTTGTTAAAAAAAAAAAGAAAGAAATAAAGAAAAACAATTCCCGCCAGTTACATTTTCCCGCAAAAACAACACTTATACAACCCCTCCCCAAACAAACCGCCGAAAAAAGCCCTAAAAACTCAAACCCTTGTCTTTCTCTCTCCTCGCCGGCGGCAATGGCGGCGTCAGATCAAATGACAGAGTACGAACGCAAGCGGCTCGAGAATATCAAGCGCAACTCCCAAGTTCTGGCTTCTCTCAAAATTCACTCTCATGTTGCCGATCTTTCCGCCACTTCCAAGCGTTTTAGGTCTTTCTCTCTCCTTTGATTTTTAATTTATTGCCTTTTTTGTCGATTTCTTTGGATTTATGCTATTTGATGAATTTTAGATGTTTAATGTACAGTCAGGAAAGTTGGTGTATCTTTCAGTTTAATTGAAAGGTTACTGATTCAGCAATTGCAACGCGTTTATTGAACTTCAAATTTGAAATTGCGGTTATTTTCGGTTTTGTTGAATTTGAAGTTCTTTTTTGTTGCTGCCATTTGTCTGTTGATTTATTTGGTTATTATGCTTTTTGGTGAATTTTGTACTCCGTAGTTTAATTTGCATGTTCAATGAGGAAAATTGAAGCCGTTTTTAGTTTAATTTAAAGGAAAGGTAACTAATTAACATTTAAGTAATTGCAACATGTTTATTGAACTTGAAATTGCTATTATTTTCGGCTTTGTTGAATTTGGATTTTTTTTCAAATTGATGTTCATTAATTCTGTTTTTGATTGTATGATATTTCTGTGATAGTTGGATTAATAGAAATGTTATGTATTTCCTTCGGCCCAAAATTAAAGGAATTGTGTTGAAATAACAAGCTTTTACATCTTTATCATGGTGCAAAGTAGTTTTCTTGTTGGTTATCATTGTGGGAAATTTGGATAAGTTAAACATTAGCAAAGTTAATTTAGAAAGTGTAGTACTTTTTCTTTTTATTGTTATAATCTAAATTAGAAATGTGACATGTTTTAGATTTGATATGACATTAAATCTAAGTGAAATACAAATACTTACGCAATATACTCACTATTGCAAGAAATTGAATTATACAAGTATTAGGTAATACTACCTCTGTTTCAATTTGCAACGATTTGACATAAAGTGTGAGTACAAAATGTCTCATCATTGCAAATAATATGAAATGAAGGTAGTACTAGTCTAAGTTTCTCTAGCTGGGCTATGGTAGGGGTTATTAGTATTTTGTGTGGTTTGTATGGGTTTTAATATGTGAAATGGTATATATCACAGAGAGGAGAAGTCATACAAGCAGAGCTCTGAGAAGAAGCCCAAGCCTGATAGTAGTCCAGTTGTGATTCGTCGTTCCCTTCGCACTCGAGGAAAGCCTCCTGATTTGTCTGGCCTATCTGAAGGTTCTATTGATTCACCTGCTAAACCCTCTAGGCTATCCAGGTCGCCCGAATCAAATTTTGTGCCTGTGGAGGCTCCTAGTATGGAACAAGCCTATGAGGGGAAAGGTTCACCCCTGGCTCTGGTAAAAAAACTCACTAGACTTACAAGAAAGATAAAATCAGAAAATGAGGATGACCATTCACAGTGTGCCAGAAAGATAAAATCAGAAGATGGGGATGACCATTCACAGTCTGCAAGAAAGATCAAATTTGAAGATGGGGATGACCATTCACAGTCTGCCAGAAAGATAAAATTAGAATATGAGGATGACTATTCACAGTCTGCCACGAAGTTTGAAAGGGTTAAGCTGGAGGAGCCTTTTGCTCCACTCTCGCTGAAGTTAGAATATGATAACATAGCCCGTGTTGTGCCAGGGAGGATATTTTCTGTTCAGTTTTTTCCGACAACAGAGATGACTATGGTTGTTGTAGGGAACAAGTTTGGGCAATTGGGATTTTGGGATGTTAAACCACAAATGGGGGAGGAAAAAGATGTGATTCATCTTTATAAACCACACTTGGCTCCTATTTCTGGGATTTCTGTGCACCCTTTTGCTCTATCAAAGGTAATCACTTGGCATTAATGTATTTTATTTGGATTAACAACATGGTCATAGTTATCAATTGTTAGTCGTCAGTCTTTTGTAATTCCCATCAATCCCTTTTTCATGCTTGATTTAAGGTTCAAATCTACTATTTTTAGCCATAAAATGTTTTACTCATATTTTTTGTTAATGCATACATGCTATCGTAGAGTGTGTTTCTAGATTTCCAACATAACCTATTATATATTCTGTTTTTTCAACCAGTTTGTAGGCTTTTATCTTGTCTATTGGAATTTTTTTGCTAAGCTTGTGTTGTACTTAAAGGCAGAGTTATTCATCTGTATTCTGATTTGGGATCTTCAACTTTATCAGTGTTTGAACCCTGTCTGTTTTGTAATGGTTTTTGATATTTTTTTCCTTCTCATCCCTGCACATTATCTATCTATAAGGGAGATACCATGAAAAATGCAGACACCATGGATGTAGCTTAACCAACTTCTTCTGAAATTTTGTGCAATTGTTTCTAGTAAAGGGAAAATATAAATTCCATGTTGAAATTTTAAATTTGTGCTTCAATAAAATGATATCATGTTGATATTGCATACATTGTATGTTTGAAACTTGAACCTTTGACTTTTGACTGATCTTTGGGATGATTTGTGTCATTCTCCGATTCTGTATTTCAATTGAGTTTTCTTCATTTGATTTGTTGATTTGGTAATGATGTAAGTTTGTGTGCAGGTATACTCTAGCTGTTATGATGGGTTTCTACGGATGATGAACATTGAGAGGGAGAAGTTTGAACTTGTATGCTCGAGTGCTGATGGGTCTTCTTATTATTCACTTGCACAACAGCCACAGGATGTGAATACTGTTTATTTTGCTGAAGGTCCAGGGGGTCTAAATATGTTTGATGTAAGAGTGGGGGAAATCTCGTCCTCTTGGCCATTACATCAGGGAAGGATAAATTCCATTGATTTTAGCCCATCAAACACCAATTTCATGGCAACTAGTTCTACAGATGGATTTGCTTGTCTATGGGATCTAAGAAATATGAAAGTCAAAATCGAGGATAAACATCCTGATCACAAAGCTATGTGGACTGTCAAGCATACACGAGCTGTACATTCTGCTTATTTCTCTCCATCTGGTCGTTGCCTGGCAACAACAAGGTATTTGACCATTATGTTAATTGTTTACTTAGTTATAACAACTTTTTCGCAAAGTATTCTAAATTTTTTATATTTCATGCTTTAATTCTATTATGTGGAGATATTATGCATTATGTTGGCACAAATGCTATTTATGCTGTTAATAAATGCTGCGACTCAGTAGCTGAAAGCTAATTGACATCTCTACTGAAAACTTGTCCTTGTACTTAGTTACATATTTAAAGGTTATCCTGTCTGATTTGCAAACATTTTGGCTTCCCTGATGTTGGAAACTCGACTTAACTTTCTTTTTTGTCAGATTAAAGGTCTCTTCCCGATTCTTGTCTCAGGAAATTAGCTGAGTTTTGAAAAATCCCTGTTGTTATTCCATGGAGTCATGGACCATTAAAATTTAGCTTTAATACTTTGGTTTGTTTGAGTGTATGACTTGGATGCCTGTTTTCTGGAGCAAGCTGTTTTATGAAAGTGTCAAGTACCTTGTTAATCTTGTCAGCTTTGGATAATATTTGTTGCTCCTTCACTTCTTATGTCTTTTTTTTCTTCCCTGTGCAGTGTGGATGACAATATTGGTGTGCTTACCGGTGTAAATTTTGAGGATACATACATGATTCCCCATGATAATTGGACGAATAGATGGATTTCTTCTTTCAGGTATAACATTCTTTCTATCAGTACTTCAGTAGAATTGCTTGTTTTAAAAAGCAACTCTTTTTGCTGTACATTTGCAAATTTTGCCCATAAGCTGATATATATTAATTTGCGTGATATGTGTTTATTTGATGTTTAGTAAGTCCATGCATGATGCATTAACAGAAATTGACTTTTCTTCATGTAACTGCTGCAACCTGTCCTTTCCCTACTTGTATTTCAAATCATTAAAGGTAAAATTCTAAGTATATGAACTCTTATGCTGTGTGATTTGAGCAGGGCTGTATGGGGCTGGGATGATACACATCTTTATATTGGAAATATGAAAAGAAGAGTCGATGTGCTATCAGTGACACAAAAAAAGACGGTACATTCATTGGCAAGCTCTCATATGTCTGCTATTCCATGTCGGTATCATGCTCACCCCTGCAATGTTGGGATGCTGGCTGGTGCTACTAGCGGCGGTCAGGTTTACATATGGACAGCATCTTCATGAACAACCTTGTTCAGAAATTTTGTACGTAATCTGTTTGTTGTAACTCATGGGACTATGGGACAATTCCTGTGAATGATGATCTGCTGTAACAAGCACAATGCCCGGTTAGTATTAAGTTATAACCATTGTTGATTTTATAGGGGAATTTGTTTCTGTATCTTAATTCCACTAACATATTGTTGTTTGCTAAACGAATCTAAAGAAAGAATGTTAAATTAGCAAATTCACTAACAATGTTCCACATTTGTATCCATCTTTACATTTTGATTTCAATTTCGTTGTATATAATTGGTCCATTTTCTTAATTAATGGAGTCAATGGACTGAGTATCCAATCTTAAAAATTGACTTTGACTTTGAGATATTTTAAAAATAACTATGTACTTTGTATATGAAAAAGCTTGGCCTAGTAGTTGGGAAAATAGTTGGTGATTTGACTTTGAGATCTCACGTTTAAGTCTTCTCTTATGCATATAAAAAAAACACTATAGCGGAAAATAGATACTCTGTAGGTTAAACATAAAGTGTACCGATACACGTTTCTTATCCCCTCAATGAGCTTCAAGATAAAACGATAGAAACCAATAAAAAAAAAAGGATGAAGGAAAGCACTAATAATAGTAAACACTAATCGCATTAGTATTTTATATGATGGGTAGAGCACCAAAGTAGGTCTAGTGTGTAGTCTCTTTGATACTACAAACTTTGCTCATTAGTACAGCATTTCTTTTCTGAAAAAACGTGGCTAAAGGACACTGTATAAATTCTTTCGCAAAAAACATAGCATGGCTTATCTCATAAAGTAATTTTATTTTTTAGTGCTAGGGAACTATAATGGCACATGCACAACAGCACAAAGTTTTGTTAAAGATAAAATACAAGTATCTCTTTTTCAAAAAGCTTATTACAATTTTCTTCATTTTTGTAAAATATAATTGGAATAAGGCTGTTTATGTAATCATTTGTTTTAACTGTTATTAAATCTGGTAATTATTCCATGTTCCAAACTGTTTGATCTACTAGCGTATTGAGTCACGAAAGACAAATAATGTTGACTGGTGTTTTATGACTTTGATCACTGAATACAGAGTACCATCCTAAACCTATTGATCAATTGAGTTAGTTGGTATCCAAATGTTTACAACTGTTTGCGAACTTATCTTTTTGGGCTCCAGCTAAAGGAGTCCCTAGTTGGACCCGATCAAAAACGCGCTAGTCCAATAATTGGTGAAGAGGTACACTCTACAGAGCCCAAGATGGATAGATCATCGCTACTTCCACTTCCACCATAGACCTACTGGCTATGTTACCATCAATGAATTTTCAGAATGGTCCATGCAAACTATACGGAGTACTGAGTAGTACTCTCTAGGTCTCATATTCTTCCTACTTCGTGCATTAACTTATTAAATTTTGACGGTGAATTATTGTTTGTATTAAGGAGATATTATTAATTTTTTAATCGTATATTTTCTCTATTTTATTAAACTTGCAACACGTTAACTCATACGAGTATTATATTTTGATCAACTTTGACAATTTATAATTGAGGATTAATATATTCACGTTCGATTTTGTTAGATTAGTTCGATTTATACTTTCATAATATCAAATTTTTTTATTGGTTTTTTTTTATGATTAAAGATACCAATGATTATACTAATGCATATCGTGAATTGAGAAGTGTTATATGTAAAAAGAGATGCACGCTGAAAATGTATTGTTAAAATACGTAGTATTCATTTTTCATAAATTTAATAAAACGTAGTAGTAATAAATATAAAAATGGTTAATTATGTTTATTAATTTCATGCGGTGGAAACCATAAAGATTTCTATGTTAAAGAACGACTACTCCCTTTGTTTAAAATTTCTTCCCATTTTAACTACTTTTCTTTATTTCCTCGACAATCAGCATTGTGGAAATTGCAGCAGGGAGATCACACCTCTGCTTGGCTTCGGACGGTCCTTATTTCGGAGTTGGGTTTGACGATGAGCGCAAAGACTTACTATAACTTTATTATAGTGGAGTGGGGACCCAAATTGTATCTCGGCTTCCTACTAATTTTTTATAGGTTGTATGACTTTGTCTATTTTTGAGATATAAATTATTATTATTATTATTATTATTATTATTATTATTACTATTATTACTCGTATTTACATAGTGCTTTTTATTCTTGAATTAAATCAAAGTTGATACTATAAACCTTTAAAATTCTAATGGAACATTTTATTTGAAACCGAAGACGTAAACATAATTTAATTTACATATATTCAATTCATGAATATTATGAGAAAATAAAATAATACTTGTATTTTGAAAGAATTATATCTCTTAATATTATGAAGTATAGATTAATCGAGGATTTTTTATTGTGGATTCATATTAATAATAATAATTTGACAATGAATCCCATAGATAAACTATTTCATTGGTTCATTTATTGTTAAAATGACATCTATCAAAAAGAGATATGCATGTATTTGGATGATGTGACATAAAATAAAGTTCTTAACAATTTGTTTTATTACTATTGTCCTTATCTTCATGAACTTTTTAAAATTAAAAAAAAATATTAAATAAATAATAGAAAATAAAAATAAAATAAAATTGAAGTACAATTGGTAGTGGTATGGTAGTAGGTCCACATATGGTTAGCATGTGGAGAACAAAATTTACTACCATTTGATTTTTTGATTGCTCGTTTTGGGTATTCTAGATTTGTACCTTTGTGGTTTATGATCATAAATCATTAAGTGTGTAGTAGCAACTAAGAAGGAGGCTATCACGTGATCTAGTTTAATCAATGATTCAATGGTGTCAATGTCACGTGCAGGCAATTAATTTTTGGGGTGAGCTGTAATTGAGGAGACAGTAAAAATCAGTTTCTTTACAGACTTTTTATTTATTTATTTTTTAAGCACTTGCACAATTGAACGATTGTACTAGAGTTATGAGTTTATGACCCACTTGGCCGGGAGCTGATACACATAGATTTAGTCTATGTGTACACATAGATTTAGTCTATGTGTACACATAGACACCCAATAGATAGAAGACAACTCATTATTTTATTATAATGAATGGGAGAGAGTTGAGCGGGAAAGTTAAGCGGAAGAAAAACTTAGTAATTCCCGCCTAAGAAGAGAAGAGCGTTAAAAATTTAATGTTGAATTAGATGAAAAAATTATGGCGCCATTTTCATGAAAAATATTACATCGTCACGAGCAAGCTATTTCTTTTAGTTTTGGCAACCATTTGTATGACAAAGGCAATGGAAGTTCAAGATGTTCCCATAATTAAAGCTAGAGATATTAAGTCAGGTAGTTAATCTTGTTGTTCGAAGCGTATTTCGGGTATCATTGAAGGAAATGTTGTAAAAAGCAATTGAACAGGTTGAATTCCTATAATTGAACGAAAATGTCTTATTAAATTTGATATATTTGATGAACTTAGTTTTTACAATGAATTACTCCACATATAATTGATTTTAAGTAATACGATCGAAGAAGATACTGTTTTCAGTTTTATAATGAATTTGTAATTGTTGTTAGATAAGTGGATTTGATATATGTCGATGCATTTGTGTGGGAAGATAAGGGTTTGTACTGTGTTGATTATCAGTGGTGGGTAGTAACTAGATTAAAAGATTAATAATGTATATGATTTAGCTTATTAGTGTATTTAGAAATTATATTTAAGTTATTTAAGTGAGGTGTGATTTTTTTTAGTATCAATTTCATTATAGTGGTTTTAAAATATGTATAATTTGCATAACTGAAACTTTTTTTTTTATTTTTTATGTTGTGTTAAATTGGGCAGGTTGTAAGAGGTATGATATTTCGTAGTATCAAATTCATTATTGATGTATCTGATAGTTTTTTTATATGTTGTGTTAAAGTTGTAGGGTTGTAATTTAACGGAAAACGTGGAGGGTGATTCAAAAATGAACATTGATATTAATGAGATTTTTATGAATTTTGAAAAGGAAGATCCTCAGGTAGCAAATGACCCCGTCCTTCATCTCGAATAACCAAATATAGCTAGGTTCACCTAAACTCGATCTAACCCAACCCAACTTAGTACTCGACATTCGATCTATTAGTGCGCGACAGTACTTGGTTGTACCATAACTTTCCTTAATTTAAATGGTTGTACAGATGATTTTATTGTCAATCAATTCTGATGGAGTTTGATACAATTGATGATGATGAACTAAGTTTTGCAATGAATTGTAATTGATTTTACTTTAAGTTTGATGGTGATTATTGTAAAGTGATTACTTGCACCGGTAGTTGAAGATAAGGATTAATAGAGTATCAATTTATAATGATTAGTTGCATCAAAATAAAAATAAAAATAATGGTTAGTTATATGAGATTAATTTATTTTAGCTTAGCCAATTGTGTATTTATAAAACATGTTGCAATTATGTTAGTGTCACACATGAATTTTTTTAGTATCAATTTGATTAATGTGAGTATAATTGTACGAAATTTTGTATCATTAAGAGTTATATTTATATGAGCGACTTAAGCTTTCAAGTGTTTTGTGATAATTGTAGAGAATTTTTATCTTAATGAAAATCTTAAAGGCAATTTGTATTGGAAAGGACCGTGCATTATTATTATATTGATCTGAATGAAGTTGTAATGGATAGTGAGGAGGAAGAGGAAGATATTCAAATAGCATATGCCCCACAAGTTGTAATGAAGTGTGAGAAGGAGAGGGAGAGTGGTCGGCCAGTGATGGAGATGGGTCGCTGGGGGTGGGGGGGGTATTGAGTGGCGGCTCTGGTGAGGGAGAAGGGATGTTGGCAAGGAGGAAATGGTTGGCTGATGGAGGTGGTGGTGGTTTTTTTATAATTTTTTTATTTACAAATTAATTTAATAGTTAAATAATTAATTAAGTTAGAGGGTAATTAGAAGAAATAGGGGAAATTAGAGGATAATTAAGTGAATTAGAGATTCTTGTCTTCAACAAAATAAATTTACAATCAGGTTTTAACTTGCCAAAAAAAAATTATAAGGTTTATTCTGACAATAACGTTGCTATAAAAGATTTTTTTTGACAAATTTTCTTAATAAGAAAATAATATTGTAATTATAAATAAACTAATAATATTAATATCGTATTTAATATAATCATATTAGACTTGAATGGAACTTTTTAGACATGACTAAAACTTTAATGGAACTTCATTATACCTTATTTGACTGGACTAAAACTTATTAGAAGTTATTAAACTCACTAAATCTGATAAAATCCTATCTGGATTTATTTGAATTAATTAGACCTAAAACTTATT